TATCACTTTCGTACACTTTGCATATCTGTGACATGACTCCCAAAGGAAAATGACTGGTACAAATACTTTGCACTAGCCAGCAAAAGTCTTTAACCCGCAGTTCAATATATTAAAAACCCAGTTTTACTGGTTGCATATTCTTTGCTGTCCTCACCTGGAATAATAGCTGAACTGCATACTCCATCACAGAAGAGGGCTTGTGCATAATTACACAAAGATTACTTTGGCAGAAACTCAGAAGAAGAAAAGCTTTAATTGCCCAACAAAACGACCATTCACACATTCTGACTCAGATGTCAGGGAAATATAAAATCTGATTCTTATAATTCTATTTTTGCAGCTAATGGGACTACAAAATTGAAATATTTCTGTTTATTCAATTATGAATAACTATATTCATATATGTTCTTAAATTTGATAAGAACACTTTCACAACATCTACCCTTCCGACCTCCCACTGCAGCATCACACTGTCTTTAAATGAGTCCAGCGCTCTGGCCTCAACTAACCTTACTGGCAAAACGTTCCAGTTGTTGATTACCCTCTGGTAAAGAAAATCCTCCAAGTATCTGTCCTAAAACTGCCCTTAGTAATTCTAAACCTATGTCTTCTTCATAGAATCATAGAATATTAGAATTATACAGCACAGAAGGAAGCCATTCAGCCCATCGTGTCTGTGCTGGTTCTTTGAAAAGAGCTATCCAAATAAATCCACTCCCCTGCTCTCTCCCCAAAGCCCTGCAAACTTGTCCTCCCCAAATAATTATCTACTTCTCTCTTAAAAATTGTTACTGAATCGGCTTCCATCACCTTTTCAGGCAATGAATTCCAGAACCAAACAACTTGCTGCGTGAAAAAATTTCTCCTCCCCTCTGTTTCTTTTAACAACTATTTTAAATTGGTGTCCTTGGGTTACCAAACCACCCACCAGTGGAAATAGTTTCTCCTTGTTCACCCTATCAAATCCCTCATCATTTTGAAAACTTCTATTAAGTAAGCAGAGTTTTGTGAGTGGTAAACAGGGTTTCGTGGGTAGTAAGCAGAGTTTTGTGAGTAGTAAGCAGGGTTTTGTGGCTTGTTCAATTGTCTTGTTACATCCTATTGTATTGTTCTTGCTTCATTTTTTCGATCCCATTTAAATGTTTAAAATCAATAAGCCTGTCTGCTTCCCTATGTCTTTAAGAAGTAAAAGGCAATTAAGAAAGAGTCAATGAAATAGAAGCAGGAAGTATAAAAGGATCCAGGGAACTGTACCAGGGTGGTGGTTTATGGTTGGAGTAAATAAATTACTTGATACACCATTGTTGTGGATTGAAAATCATTATACCCTTCATCCTCACTCCAAGGCATTGTGGGTGGTAGAATAACATGTTTGGAGAGTAATTGCACAATTAAAAAGAACCTGTAAAGTATGAAACTTTAATTTGTTATTTAAAAAAACAAGTCAGTCACAAAATGCTCATTCCTTAATTTTTAATTGAAAGGTATGCCTGTAGAGAAAAGTATACAGTGATGACATGAAGAAACAAACGTGCATCTTAATGGCATGATTTTTAGGTTCTTTCAGATATAGCAAATAACGAGGGCAGTAGATTAGATTTTATTAATAATACGTTCAGTTGAAAAACAATATACCACTCAGGACCGATGCTTCAGTTGGTTCAAATAGGAAAAATTCTGCAATGATCTCGATATCCTTTGCAGAGCTAGCGATGTGTCAAACAGGTTTTGCTGAATCAATCAAGCAGCCCATGAATTCAGCTCCCAACACAGCACTCATAGCCAAAAGGGTGTGACCGTGTCTGCAAATAACAGAAATGAAAAGCATTGTGCGTCTGGAAAGTAGATATTCAGAACTGCAAAAATCCAGATGCACCAATACAGCAAAACAAAAGAATATGTGTTTATAGTTACAAAGAGCAATTTCAGGACAGACACCAAGGAGTGTCTTCTTCAACTACAAGTAATTAATCAACTGGAGCAGGTTACCAGAAAGCGTGGCTGAAGAGAGGACGTGGATTTATTTTTAAAAAAAACAGCTTGATGCTGGTAAAGGACGATGGTGGGGGATTATTCTGGAAGGACGAGATCAGATGGGCCGAAGGGCCTTCCAAACCAATCGTGCATGATCTTATGATATAATCGGTTCCTCAGAGACAGGAATTGATCATTTCAACATATGTAAGATGAATATGACTAGGGCTGTAACATTTACACACCTTAATCCATACAGATATTTAACACCCCGAATGATAGTGCGGATAAAACAAATATTATGGAATTGAAAGCTATAAAATGACGTGGCTGAGATTTAATCCATTAGAGGGAGACCAGTTCAAAGAAAAAGTTAGCAGAGTTTCGTGGCTGAGGCTGATCTGAAGTTGAAAATGCCAGTAACTGCAGTTTCTATCTAAACTGGGAATAGAATTACTTGGCCAACCTAATCCTACGTAAGCCTTGTGACATGACACAACCTGTTTATACAGTTGCAAGGATAGCCTTGTGTACTCTTACCATTTAACAAATACATAGCAACTTGCAGAGTAATCTTTGGGTAATACTGTAAAGTCGCAACTGAATTGCTCAGTAAATGTATAATGTGAAATGGGAAATATCTGGCAAAGATCTGCACGTAGTTTTAAATCACAAGCATTATCAGAGTGAGAGTTGGGTGGTCTCAGATCACACAGGGAAAGTGGGAGAAAAGCCAGACCTGAATTTTACTGACAAAGATACTGTGGGGTCCCTCATGTCCCTGCTATTTACAGACAGGAGCCTGTGCATCCTGAAAAGTGGAGTCAGAATTCTAACAAAGGAGCTTATAAAGCACATGGCACTGAAGAGATCTATGCACTGGACCCTTGTGTGTTGCCTTCTGAAGGAAAGCCCCCCCCAGTGAGTTATTTGAAGATGCGATGTCTCTGAAATGTCCTCCTAGTGAGGATATGGAACTCACGACAGAAGCTGTGGTTGAAGCTAATAAGCATCAATGTATTTAAGAAGAAACCTGCTACATACATGAGGGCAAAGGGTATAGAAGATGGACATAGGTGGGGTGGTGTACCTGGCATGTTTCTGTGCAGTATCTCTATATGTATACTTGTGAACTGTTGTTTTTGTTGTCTTTGGCAATCAACAAAAGGTTAAATATGCAGTTAGCATAACATCTGGTGAGATTCTATGTTTGAGGGCATCTCCTGAATCATTGTGACCTTCTATACATCTCTCTGAGCAAGATCCTGGGGCCTGAGCCATTCTACAACAGAAGCATTGTTTTGTTCTCCTTTAAACACTTTGCTCTGCATTCAGCCTTTTATGTATTGCTGCTTGCTAGAGGCATAGTTTTTCAAGCCAAAGAAAGAATTATAGAGCATATTTTGTTTTGACGTGTTTCTTCATTAAAGTACTTGGTGAAGAGAATAGCAGAGAACAAAGCCTTAGCACTAGAGCAACTCCGGGAGGGGAAATGTAGTGTGCACAAACTCCTGTATAATTTATGCTGATAAACTCATAAGCTTGTGCATATCATATATCACAGTATATTCTGTGAAGCGCTTTAAGATGTCGCGAAGACGTGATAAGGCGATATATCAAATGCAAGGATTATTATATTATTATTATCACACTCACGTGCCAAATCAAAACAATTCCATCTGTGTTTATGCAGAAATGCTATTGATTAGGACATATTCGATACATCATTCTATTTGTATATGATATGAAGGAGTATACAACCTTAATTAGAAGGTATTAGAGGGGCGTAAGAGAGGGGATTAAGAAGCATGGAGACCCATGCGGTCTATAAACACCAGCGTGGTCTAGTTGGGCCAAATGGTGCTGTATGTATCTATGTAATTCTTTTCACATAATAAGACGTGATGATGCCATCAAACCATGAGTTATGTACTCCATTCAGTAATGAATCTTAAACCTTTTGATGTGTTTTGCTTTACTGTATATCCTGTGAAGCATTTTGAAATGTTCTCCTAACGTGAAAGCTGTTATGTCAGATGCATTGCAGGATTATTATTTTTTTATGAACACTGGTTGATCATTCAGTTATCCAGTCAGCTATTCTGCAGAAAGAGGTGGGGACAGTTTCCAGCAATGACACTATCTAGCACCATCTAGCATGCATTTAATGTAGTGCGACTGCGTTCTTTTTTTAAGTTTTGAAACAGGCTTTAATTTGGTGAGCAAAATGGACATACGTGCTTTAAATTCCAAATTAACGTGGAGCACTCTATCTTATTTTAATGCACCATGGCTATTGAAAATGGCAAACATTTTATTTGTCAACACATAATGCCATGACTTTATGTTCCACTAGGGAAATAAATTATTGCATTGTTTGCACACGACAATCTTTGTGAGGAAATTACTTCTATTCTCTCTTGCCCTGTAATTGAACTTTATTCATATGCGTGTGTCATTGTGAGTGTGTGGATACAAATGTTAATTGAACTAGTTGCATTTTTTGGATTAAAATATGAAAAGCCTAAAAGCTATCAAACATATTCCATAAAACATTCCTTTACAGTGACGTATTCAAATCATAAACACTTATTTCCATCAGTGCAAACTTGTGTTGATACTGGATTGTTGTTCCAAGTCAGAACTTATTCAGTGTATTGATAAGAACAAATTGGTTCTATTATTGTTGCATAGCAGTGCCACTAATTCTATAGTTGCCATAGACCCAATTTAGACACTTGGCTAACAAACAACTGGTGATTGTTTACATATAGATCTTGGATTAAACACATCATCTGGTTAAAATTAAACAGATTATGCTTTAGACTGAGGAAAATGTTACCCAATGAACCTGAACAGGTGTTTTATTAATTGGAAGTCATGGTGCAAAAGCAAGCCAGTGCAGTTTGGCTTAGTTTCAGTTGCTAAGACGTCTACCTCAAGCTGTGTTTGATAGACAATGTTACCTGTTACTATAGGAACACTGGCTTGCTCACCTGAAACAACAAAAAGATGCAATATCTAGCTGCGAAGGAGCAAAGAGTATTCAGAAGTCCTGCTACAGGCTTAGCTGATATCATACACACAAAAGTTTGGCAGATCTGAACGCCTGTCAAGCCATTCCAAGAAGCAGAAGGAGAATGGGCTGTACTACGAGTAAAGGTGGTGTGGTGGATGGATCTCACAAACCTGAAAGTTCCTCCGATCAAGAACAACAAAATCAGGAATCTGCCACTGAAACCTCCCCTGAGGCAAACCAACAATGTCAAACCAATGAACAACCTACGGATCAAACCAGTTAAATGTGTAGCCACTCTAGGATGGAACACCCAAGGTTATCTTTATTCTCTTTTCAAATTAATCTTATTCTTGAGTATGTGGGGGTATGACTTTAATGCCTTAAAGAAAAGGAAAGACCTAGGAATTATTTTGTTTTTGCTTTAGGAATGAATTAACTCAGGTATTTTATCCTCACATACAGTGTGGCTTACCATTGAGTGGCTTACCAAAGAAAAAGCATCAGCTGTCTTCATGACCAGAACGTATGGATGTGGCAATACAGTGGACTCAACTTTTCAAAATTGTTTGAACTCAAATCATCACAAAACTTTTGACAGCTTCTTCAATTGAAATTGAATCAACAGCAGTATACTTAAAGCATGTTAAAGCATCTTACAGTATATTTAAAGCATGTTAAAATGAGGTGTTTTAAAATGAAATAATACTTTATTGATTAAAGCAGTTAAAATTAAAGCAGTTTTAAAACAGTTAACACTAAAATGCCCTTTATAATAAGGGTGGTCGTTTTGTCAGTATTGGGTTTTATTTGAATTAAATGAAATATCAAAAGCTTGAAGTGGAAAACTGCTTCCTTTATTCTAGCATTGCCACTCATCCAGTAAAGTTTGTTTCACTACTTCAGTAGACTTAGAGATACTCCGATTACATAAAAAGAATCTAATGGCAAATTGGGTTGATAAGCTAAACGGACTACTGAGTGTTGTGTATACTACTCTATTCAATATAGAGCTGCAGGCATACACTTGATATATGATGAACAAGAAGACAACTGACTTATTTCCTTTAATCAACGTGCATACACTTAATTCTTTTGATTTTAAATGTTACTGACTCTCTCATTTTAGCTGCCTTTTTTAACTGATTCTCCTTATTTAATAGTCAAAAAAACTTGAGTGTCTGTCAGGATCTGACTGATAAAAGATCAGTCACAGGGATGTAATTGTATAGCATTATTACAATTATATATTTGTAGTCAATCAGAAGCAATGTTTATGTGCATGAGGCAACCATATTAAATAAGTGGTAATTCGTAGTATTCTGTGCTTTTATTTAGAATGATTCCGTGTTCCAGAAAAGCACTTTAAAAATGGTAGGAATGTTGAGTCATGTTGGATCTTTCTTGGTCATATATATACACTAAATATTATAAAAAATATTACATATGATTAATGTGTTCCCCTTACAATATGCAGTGAAATATTGAGGAGCTATGAGCCATGATGCATATCCCCTGAGTGAAACTTGATAACTGGTGAAAGATAAGATCACAACAGAATTATGACCAGTGCCACAAATGGGAAAACATATTGCATTTATGGCTCTCCATGATATATTCCATTAAAGACTAGGTTTAAATTTTACGTTAGACATCAATTTATTGCTTTTGTCAACTGCAAAATTCTACTACTTAAGTTTCATTGCATTATTTCGTGAAGTCATCTCAATGCTTGGATTTGCTCTTCCCTTAAAATATATTCTAGGCTGGTGTTGTGCAAAGGTTATAACACTACATCTGAAGGAAAACCCAACTTGTTCTCTTATTATCTGAAATATCCTGACTTATTCCTTTGTTTTCTAAAAAAAAGTATTTAAAATGTTACCTTCATACTGTACAATTTATGTAACACGCTGAAACACCATTTGTTCTGTTTGAACATTTATGCAAAATTGAATCAAAACCTATGACTCTTGCTGTGGAATACTAGATGTGTCCTTTTGTAAGCTTCATGCACATTAGAATTGTCTCTAAATAAAACACTTTGATGGTGATCAAAATTATTTTTAGCCACCATTACCTCTTGAAGACTTGCTGAAGTACCAACCCATGAATTCCAGCTGCCTCGCTGGCCCCAAGTGGCAATTTTTCAAGCATGAGCCCAGACATTGAGTTGGCAGGCTATACAGTTATGTGAAGAAGGTCATTACAGCTATTTGCTATCACAGCGAATACTTCTCCTTTCCGCAGGAATATTCAATTGGGTCATTAACTCACAACTGCCATTATATTTAAGCGAACAACATTTTTCAGTTGATGCAATTTACCTGAATGACAGAGTGAGCGAGAGACATCCAATTGAAGGAAGAAGAGCAATAAATAATACAATTTATCTTCATATCAGTTGAGCTGTACTATTTTCCGTAAGTATTCAATGACTTGAAAAAATGCATTCAATTAGCTGTCAGGTTTACTTTTATAATTACATATAACCTGTAAATTGTAACTAATGTTCTTTGAACAAATCCTAAAAGGAATTGAAGTAAAAAAAATCTATATTAAATGCGAGGAAACGTAAAGGAGTGTCTTGTCTAATTATTTTTGATGGTTCTTTTAATGGAGGAATCATTAAATTAAATCATGAAATGAATACTGAAGCTTTGAAAAGAGAATTTTATGGCTGTTTAATATTGCACACTGTGTGATAATCCCACACTTGATAACTACCAGATTGATCCATTTATTATTCCAGGTTTTAGATTGGAGGAGACAGAGACAAAACTTGTTTCAAGAAAACTTGGCAACTGATTTTACATAATTCATGTTCAATCCTGTCCATCAGAGATCTAACCCCAGTCGTTGATCCTTGTCCAGCTAGTTTGATGAATATAATTATATTGGGTAATTTTAATGAGGTTCAGTCCTTTATTGGCATTTCACATTATTGTGAATTAATCCTTTATTGCTCTTGTGAGAGAGGATTATACTCGTGGCCACAGACAAACCAGATGCAATCACTTTTGAGCACTCCAATGAGTGTTTTATTCATGTGGACATGAATACAAACTTTCACCAGATTAGTAACAGCAAAAATGAAACAGTCCACAGAACTTCAAAGCATCTTTTTCCACACCAAATTAGCATGTCCTTTACCCTAGTTCCTCATCAACTTCCACTGGTTCCCTCTCCACTAAAGGATTGATTTCAAGATACTCACTCTCACCTATAAATCCCTTCATACCTCAGTACCTCCCTATCTTTCTGTCTTCTCTTACCTCACCTCTCTGTTCCACCCTTCTGCTTGTTGTGCAGCCCTGCCCTCTCCTCATCACCATCAGTGGCGAAGCCTTCAGCTTCTAATCGGGGAACATCTCCATCTCACCGCTTCTCCATCTATCTTTAAGTCCTGCCTTAATACTTACCTCTTTGATCATGTTTATGGCCACTTGCCCCTCTCAGTTTCAACCTTGCTTTGAACAGCACTCTGAAACGTCAGCCTACGTAAAGAGCACTATATAAGTGCAAGTTAATTTGTTATTTTCTTTCAATCCCAAGTGTGATATCTCCCACCTCCGACTCTGCCCTCACCCCAGTTTGTTCTTAAATCGACCGCTGCATTCAATTACTTCATTAACTTTTTTGCTTGCATTCTACTGCATTTCTAAAGCAATAACAGTGCTTTAGAAAGTCACATTCACTCTAGTATTTAATTGCAATATTGTCCGACTTCAACTTTTGTTATGTTGAAGACTATTAAATGTTAGATCAACATTTTTAAAAGAAGGCTGCTTTTTCTGTAGTCATCGCCCTGTACAGAAACATAGTATTTTTCTGCGCAGAAAGAGGATATTCAGCCCATTGTATCTGTCCCTCTGGTACATGTGTCTGCATAAATTGTACCCAATGCTTAGCTTGTCATGCCAATGCTGATATTGGAACTTATGGAGCATATAAGTCAGGTCTTAGAATCATAGAATTTTACAGCACAGAAGGAAGCTGCAGGTCCATCGAATCTGTGCCGACACTTTGAAAGACCTCTCCAATTAGGTCCACTCCCCCATAACCTTGCAATTTTTTCCTCTTCAAGTATATATCGAATTCCCCTTTGAAAGTTGTTTTTGAATCGACTTCCACCACCTTTTCAGGCAATCAATTTCAGATTGTAGCAACTTGTTGCATAAAACAAAATTCCCCTTATCTCCCCTCTAGCTTTTTTGCCAATAAAAGAAAATAGCAAATAAAATGCAAAAGGTTTTGTGTAAAACAAAATTCTCCTTATCTCCCCTCTCGTTTTTTTTGCCAATTATCTTAAATGAGTATACAATAGTTGTAAATGTTGTTGCAGCTGTTATTTCCAACAATTCCACTTGAGAGCAGTAAAGTCACAAGAGAAGTGCCCTTAGAAACAAATGCAACAATGATGTAAATTAGCTTCCACACCATACAAGACTTTACCGATGAGCTGGGCCAATAGATAAGTGTGGAAATATTTGCCCAAATTGCGGGGAAATTTTGTGGGTGCTGTGGAAAATTGCAGGGGTTAGTTGGTGCTACTGAGATACATCTTACTTCCAACCTACATTTTTTCACTTTATTGATAAAAACTAAACATGAGGAAATAACACGCATTAGATTGTTGCACCTTTTCAAAGAATTTCTTCTTTAAGAAAGACTGGGTGGCCCATGGGTGGGGGGACACCAGTACAGACTCATAGACGCAAACAGAGGAGAAAGAGACTCACATAGAGGAGAAAGACACTCAATAGACACTCACAACACACATAGAGAGAAACAGACAGACAGACGCAGATGGTATTTGTGGTTAAGTGACATCTGTTTGAAACCAAGAGTGCATTTGACAATAGGAGAAACATTGGACAGTGTGATTGGTGAGCAGGGCTTTTATACTGGAGGGGAGTGCAGGAATATTGCATTACCCTCCCATGACTTCATAGCATATAACTTCTAGAGTGACAATGTCTAATGACTTTCCTCTGGTGGATGATGGCATGTTCTAACATTTACCGAGGACAGACAATTGAAAGGTGAAGCAGATAATGTTTCTCCTTGGTCCAATTCCTCCAACATCCTGCAGTACCTTTTGCTGCCAAATGATCCTTTTTTCTCTTCCATTTGCAGATTAAACTGCTCTGGATTTTCAGCATTTCCACATTTCAAGTTGAGTTCCGATTGCAATTCCAGGCAGGAATCTATCATTCACAGATCCAGATAGCCTTGCAGATTTTCCTGACTGCAATTCCCTCAGCACAAAGGCAGAGTCTGAGGGAATCCCTGTTCTGAAACCTTGTTTCGAAGTTGAATATAATACAAAATTACATTTGTATGGCACCTTTCACATCAGGAGGATGTCCCAAGGCATCCCAGTGCTACAGGAGACAAAGTTCACTGTATTGAGTAGGGTTCCTGTGCTCCTTTGAGTCAAAATCTGCATTCAGGATGAGTGACTGAGCCACAATAAAGCAGTTGCTCATTCCACAATAAAGAGAAAGATAGTGCCTGGGAGATTGTGAATCAACCTAGGAAGTGAAGCTAAGATGTGATTGAGAGGTGAGTGTATGATGGCCATTCTGGCCTCTGATTAGATTGGCATTCAAAATTCTTTATATTGATAATTATCATGAGGAAATGTTTTAAATTGCTGCAAATTTCATTCCTATACTTCATTTCGTACTATTTGGAAAAGCGGCTAATAGGAATTACATCTGTTCACTCTTGTCACTACAACAGCTTTCTAAGAAAATAGCACTAGAATTTGCATTGAATGTAATATTTTGAGAAATATTATGTTGGATGGTGTGCAGTTGTGTTGCTTCTCTTTC